TGTACCTCTGGTGCAAATTACTGACCTCTGTCATCATTTTAGGTGGGGGAACTTGCACAATCGGTGGCTGACTAAATACTTTTTTGCCCCACTGTATACAGTCTGGCCATGTTTGCCTCTGTTGCACGTGGATCGCTGTGGTTTTTAGAAAAAGAAATTAGGAAGGCAAATTTAAAAACTGGATAAGAAGGGAGGGGGGGACTCTAAGAAAACGAGAGTATCCAAATGCAGAAAATTGGGAATAGCAATTTAGGCCATCTGTTGGCTGGAGGACTGCATAATGAAAAGTGAACATATTCAGCATAGAGAATGAGGCTGGGCAGCACCACCAGGATTGTGTGGGAAAATACAGAATTGGATATTATGTTTCTGCCCCTTGAATAATGCCTCCAGCTCTTCCCCCATCAGATAGCACTTTTTAAACTGGATTCTCTCCCTCCCTTCAGGCCATGTCACCATCAGTCAGAGGATGTGTCTGTCAATAGATAATCTGCTTTTCCAAACAGCCATGCAACCAGCTCTGCCCTTTTCTTATGGGGGATGCTAGCCATGTGACATAACATCATGCTAGTTTGCCACTTACAAGCTGTGGTATTTATGGTGAAGTTCAGAATTGGTGCCCCCTGTGGTGTGGAGTTCAAGTCACTTGTTTAGTGTTCGCTCCTCTTTAAGTGTTCAGACTGTGTGACCATGCTGTGAATATTGCAGAGCTTGACCCTTGATTTAGATCATAGCAGTGCAGCTCCCGCGGTGCTACACTTTTATACCTATCCAGCCCCAGTTCATTAGGAAAAAAACATAAAGTAATGCGGTCTAATGTAACAGTCTTATATTCAAAATAACCCCCTCATTATCACGTCAGTATTCTCTGTTAAAGGGACTTATTATAATCCTTTATGTACTTAAATCTGAGCAGTATGCTTAGATTTTAAACACTTTATTATCAACACTGACAGCAGCATTGTCGCATGGCTATTACAGATCTATAATCTAAAAAAAAAATAGCTTTTTAACTTTAGAGAAGTGCTATAAAATCATTCACAGATGGTTTCTTTTTCCACGCAGGCATACAAACTCACATAGCAACTATGGCAGAGTCACCATACAAGTCTGTTATTGTGGCTGGGCTAATGATCAAACCGCCACCTCTACTACCTGAGCAACACCACCCCAAATGACATATGTACAACATACTGCACAGTGGGTGGAAGTTGTTTATAGAAAGTAGTGTATCTATCTACTCACAATTTGGACACCAGTTTAGCAGCACGGAAAATGACATTATCTGCATTAACACATATTATTCTTTAACTGGAATCTTATCTCCTTGGAAACAAAATTCAGTTTATATCCATTCAACTATTGTTTTTAGCCAATTTGTTGTTTTTGTTTTTTGTTTAAGCAGGAAGTAAAAAAAAATCTCTTTTGCAAGATTGTGCTGGTTCTCTTCCTCTGATTCCTTCTGGAATCTTTCTTATAATTGTCATATTTCCACCCTTGGCAACAAGAACTACAATCATTTGCGATACCTTTCACAACTTTCACCCCGCAGAGGAATTTTTGCCCACTCTTCTTTGCAGAATTGTTTTAATTCAGCCACATTGGACATTTTTAAGCATGAACAGGCTGTTTAAGGTCATGCCAAAACCTTCATTTCGATTTTTTGTGCCATTCAACGGTGATCTCACCGGTCCAGTTGTCCATGTCCTGAAGCAGCAAAGCATCCCTAGACTATCACACTACCAACACCATGTTTAACTGTTGGTATGGTGTTCTTTTTATGATACTTAAGAGATGTTAGTTTCACACCAGAGCTAACAGGACTCAAACCATCCATAAAATTCAACTTTTGTCTCATCAGTCCAAGGAATATTCCCAAAAGTCTTGGGGATCATCAAGATGTTTTCTGGCAAATTTGAGATGGGTCTTGGTGTTCTTCTTGGTCAGCAGTGGTTTTCTCCTTGGAACTCTCCCATGGATGCAGTTTTTGCCCAGTCTCTTTCTCATTGTTGAATCAAGAACTCTGACCTTAACTGAGGTGAGTGAGGCCTGCAGTTCAGATGTTGTTTGGGTTCTTTTGTGGCCTCCTGGATGAGTCGTCAGTGCGCTCTTGGGGTAATTTTGGTAGGCCTGGACTCCTGGGAACATTCACCACCACCCCATGTTTTCTCCATTCTTGTTGATAATGGCTCTCACTATGGTTCACTGGGGTCTCAAAGCCTTAGAAATGGCCTTGTAACCCTTTCCAGAGTCATAGATGTCAGTGAACTTTTTCACATCTTTTAGCCTACTTCACTTTGTCAGATGGACTCTATTCAAGTGATTCTTTGGTCAAACAGATCTGGCAGTAAGCAGGCCTGGGTGTGGCTAGGAGAATAGAAATCAGCATTTCAAGAAAGTGTATTTATTTATTCATTATTTATTTAATAAATGAATATGATTAAAGACTTTTCCCAGTGCTGTAAATCCTCCAATAAGATAACAGAGTTGAATAAAAATAAATAATGCCCTGCTTATCTCCTCTTGTTCTGTCAGCTGTCACCAGGTTCAGAGGAAGAAGAACATGAGGGTCCAGTGTGTGAAAAGCTGGGTCGTATTCAGTTCAGTGTTGGATACAGTTTTCAAGACTCCACCCTCACTGTGAAAATTCTCAAAGGCCAAGATTTGCCAGCTAAGGACTTTTCTGGCACCTCTGACCCATTTGTCAAACTATACCTGCTGCCAGACAAGAAGCACAAACTGGAGACAAAAGTGAAGAGGAAGAATCTAAACCCCCACTGGAACGAGACCTTCCTTTTCGAAGGTGTGATCAGGAAGCCTTTCCTTAAACACATTCACAGCATATGCAGGCAGTCATTTCTGTCTGGATCATTGTAACATATTAAGACTATCGTGTGTGAATCTCTTTCTCAGGGTTCCCCTATGAGAAGGTGGTTCAGAGGACCCTGTACCTCCAGGTTCTTGACTACGATCGCTTCAGCAGGAACGACCCAATAGGAGAGGTGTCCATTCCACTCAACAAGCTGGACCTAGCCAACATGCAGACTTTCTGGAAGGAGCTGAAACCATGTAGCGATGGCAGTGTGAGTAAGAAGGAAAGAGGCTGAGTAGAGGAAAAGAAGATAGACAGGAAGGGAGGGGGCAAGATGAAGAGAAAGAGAAGATGGGACAGAATGTAGCGGGTGATGTCATTCCTGGCTGCCGTGATGCTCCCATGGGAGATGTAGCAGCATGCTAGAGGGAGAAGGGATAGGGAATATGGAGAGGCTGACAGGTAGATGAAGGAAACACAGGCAAGCAAAGGAAACATAGGATGAGTGACAGAATGGAGAGCAATGCAATGAGGCAATTAAAAATGAACAGTTTGTTATTGTTTTTGTTATTGTCTATGGTTTTTTCCAGGGAAGTCGAGGGGATCTGTTGGTGTCTCTGTGTTACAACCCCACAGCCAACACCATCACTGTGAGCATCATCAAAGCCCGCAACCTCAAAGCCATGGACATTGGAGGCACTTCTGGTATAGATGCTCCCTCGTCTTCCTTTCTTCAATACATTTTTACATTCCAACAACAGAAAATGAGAAAATAGCGTGTTTATATTTTATTTTTGGTTTTTTGTTGTTGTTTTTTTGTTCTCATTAAATCCCCAATTCTGGTAATTCATGAATGCTATATTGCTTCATAACCGGCACATTTCCCTCTCCTCAGACCCCTACGTAAAAGTGTGGTTGATGCACAAGGACAAGCGTGTGGAGAAGAAGAAGACGGTGGTAATGAAGCGCTGTCTGAACCCTGTTTTCAACGAGTCCTTCCCCTTTGACGTGCCTGCCCACGTGCTGAGGGAGACCACCATAATTATCACCGTCATGGACAAGGACAGACTCAGCCGCAATGATGTCATTGGGAAGGTATCTCCTTCCCACTCCTCTTCTTCGCCTCTTCCTCTCTTCTTCTTCTTCCTCCTCTTTTTTTTCTCTCTTCCTCTGTGTTTTTCTGACTGTCTGTCAGACCATCAGCAGATGATCAGTGAGCCAGTCTCTACTGACCCCTGCTGGAACATGCAGTTCATTCCCCTGTGCTGTAAATGAACTCATATGCAGCAAACAACAAGCCGCTAATTTTAAGTGTGAAAGTAAAAGTGTGCTTTATTTAGACTTAATACTACAACATTTAGGAATGGCACAGAGGCAGATGGAGATACACACAGTCAGCAAACTGCACATTTACTGTTTTGGCTAAATGCAGATGGTGAGTTTAAACCTTTCCAGCTTTAACCGGAATATCCCCTGAATTTCTTTGTTGAATTAGCTGATCAACTCTGAGAAAAACTAATGTATTTCTGTTACAACGTGATTAAACATTTTAAACTTCTTATCTGCATCTTTTAGTTTCCTATAATTTTTCATAGTTTTAATGCTTTCTGGGGGAAAAATCTAATAAATTGCAGCTTTTTTTAGACACAAAGACATGTAGATGTACTTTACTTTAAATGGCAAATATGAACCCAGTACTGTGCAAAGGTCTTAAGCCACCCCTCATTTCTTTATATTTTGCAACCAAGGAATCTTGGAGTTTCTTGTGACTTTTTAAAGTGGTCTTAAAGAACAGTTCTCCAGGGTTTCTGTAGATCTTTCAAATGTTGTTTTTGGACATTGGCTGCTTTTTCCACACATTTTCAGTCCTGCCCTTCACACACACACACAAGCAGGCAAATAACTTGAGGGGATTAACCAGTGCTGTGTCTACACATGACAGAAAATTTAACAAAGAACCAACTATAAATTTGTATCCTTTTTTGTTACTAGCTGCCTGTCGCAAAAACATACATAATATGTTCCCATTTCTTTAGTTGAATCTACAAAAATGCCAAAAGTAACACAATTTGACAGTATAATATTGCATCTTTTGACCAACAAGGTAATTCCAAAATAGCTATTTGCTGTAAGCTTGCCATATCGCAGCATGGTGTTGAGTGTGTCCTCAAAAAAATATGAGAAAACTGGTCAAACGGCCAACATCCAAAAAAAAGAGCTTTGAATGTCCTTCAACAAGCCTGGAGAACTATTGCTGAAGACTACTTAAAGGAATTACAAGAAAGCTGCCTAAAAGAGTTCAGGCTATGTTGAAGAATAAAAGTGGTCACACCAAATATTGATTTTCAAGCCCATTGTACAAACTCTGTTTTTACTTTACATGCTGTATTTTCGTGTATATTTACACCTGCTTCAATAAATCACTGCACCTATTTCTCATTTTCCAAGCAAAATATAAAAATTTGAGGGTTGGCTCAAGGAGTTTTGCAGACCATTGTTTACGTATTCCTTTGTACTGCTGCCTGTAGACAAAGTCACATTGGGTGCTCTGACTGAACAAGTCTGTGTTACGCTTGCTCAACAATTAATATGAATTAATTCACTGGACATGCAATTTAACAGTTTCTGCTTCGGTTGTAATTACTACCAAATTAGATTGTTCTTTTCTCGAAACTTGTGGGATTTGTCAGGATTTTAATATCCCATAAAACCACAGTTTCTTTTATCCCATAACTGCTTCAGATATCAGACTTAACAGTAACCAAAATAACTCCTTTTTTTCCCTGTGCAGAGTGAATGATTTGCTTGTTTTTAAAACCAAACACCAGCTTTTCTATAAATAAACATACGGTATATGTATTAGGAGAATAAAAATGGAATACACCAAAGCTTAAATCAAATCTTTGTTTCATCAGGCACTTAAAAAAAATCTATACGCTGTGTACAGCAGGGAAGAGCATTTACTTTATAAGGCTTTCATACACATCTACAATATTTACAGGTACTATATGTATTCCCATTCTAACCACATATATTATTTTCTTTCACGCCGCAGTTGCCTATTATTAGAATAGCTTCGTAGAATAGAGAACAATGAAAAAGTGAACAATTTTTCATGTGGAATCCAGGAGTTTCTTGCTACATTAGAATCGCTTGCAGACGAGTCTGTGTTTGATCCTATTAGTAACAGCATTAGCCTTTCTCTGAGTTTTTCACTGGGTGAAATCTCTTGCTCTAATGGCTTTTTTTCTGCTCTGGATTTGAGTTAAATTCCAATTAGAGCAGCAGGCTTAGTGGTGAAAGGGCTACACTTAAGAGTCACAGTTTTTTTCTCTTAATACTCTGCTGTTTTATTGGGAGCATTCTTTACAAATAACATCTATCTCTGTGTGGCTGTATAGAAGTTACAGTGACTGTCTCTTCCTCACAGATTTATCTTTCATGGAAGAGTGGCCCTGCAGAGGTAAAACACTGGAAAGACATGATGGGTCATCCTCGCACTGCCGTGGCCCAGTGGCATGCTCTTAAGGCCTGAAGGACCCAGCAGCCCACCTGCCTACATTGTTTTCCCCTCAAGAATCCCCCCACCCTGCCCTCGGCACATATCCCCTACTACCTAAATGCACTGTTGGGCTTCAGACCATCTATCATCTCTTTGTTCTCAGGCCTCTTTGATATTCCTCGCCTTCAGTTCTCATGACACCTTCCTTAAATTTCACCCCTGTCAAGATCTGATTCCCGCCTGACCCTGTCTCATCCGTTTGTCTGAACTTAAAAATGTCTTTGATGTCATATGCTCTCCTTGTTCCATCTTTCTTTTTTTTCTCTTTTTTTTTTCTTCCACCACGTTTTCCTGTTTTACATCAGAGCAGTACCTCTTAACACCCGTAATTACAAACTACCAACCAAAAATGGATCAAACAGGCATTCCAACCATCCGCTGTGGCAGTGTGTTTGTTTGATTGTTTGCTTGATTGTTTGAATCCTTCTGTGTTTCTGTCTCTCTTCCGACATTCCTTTAAAATGCCTAAAAAAAAATCAGGAAAAGCGGCACAGGCAACAGAAGAGCGATGGGCTGTATTTAAAATGGACAGGAACTGGACTCTGTCACTCATCATGTTTTTCACTCTTCACTCCTCCTCCTCCTTCTACCACTGTAATAATTCTCCCTTGGCTGGAACCCTTTGTCGTCTGTGCGTGCTGTGGGTGATGTGCTGTAACCCCAAATGAAGATCGTCAAGAAAAAAATAAGAAAAAAAGGATATGAACATGAACATTTAGCACTGGTCTAAAAGGGGCAAGTGTCAAACTGCTTTCCTATTTTCTTTAACTCCCGATGGACAGAAAAAAAGAGTAAAGTGATTAATGTTGTGTTTTATTTATTTATTTAATGAGTTTTGTTTCGAAAGAACTTAGAGAATCAACCTGTTCTTCCAGAAAATAAGCAAAAAGCAGCTTCCATGAGTGTGGAAGTGTGGGGATAATGCGTGTGTGTGTGTGTGTGTGTGTGTGTGTGTGTGTGTGTGTGTGTGTGTGTGTGTGTGTGTGTGTGTGTGTGTGTGTGAGGGAGGAAATATTTTAGATTTGCACGGCTGAACAAAAAATATTGTCGAAAACCAAACTGCCCTTGATAACAATGAGAAAAATTGAGATTAGCTGAACATGTGGGTGGAGGTCACTGAAGTTAGTGTCAGTCTGTCCAAAACACATACACAACTTTCTAACACGCCCTTTAGTGGTCTCAAAAAAGACAGCTAGTTTCAGTTTCACATGTAAAAGATTTGAGCTCAGAAAACCAGACTAACTGCTGGAAATATATAACAGAGGATTTCATTGTCAAACAATTTACCACTTTGATTTTTAACGTTGTTGTGTTTTGGTAAATGGATATAGTCCAGAAACCACAATGTAAATGGTTTTCTTTGAGAGCAGAAAACAATCTGTGCAAATTGTTGACGACATATAGACATGGTAAAGCAAAGGTACACCCTTTCTCAGTTCTAAAGTTTTACATACCAGCACATAATAAAAAGTTATTGACATGTGGTAAATACAACCTGAGATGCACAACAACACATTAGTTTAACTGAAACTAAGCCAAAATGAAGAAATAGTGTGTAGAAAGCTTATCGAACCGCCTTTAGCAGCAATAACTTGAGGTTAAGAGCTGGAATTTGACTGGGCCTTTGCAACACCTTAATTTTTAGCTTTTCTGCAATGTTGTAGATTTGCTGCTGTGCTTGGGATATTATTGCAGCCAGGCTTTAGTTTTCAAACAAATCGCCTCACATTTGACTCTAGAATAGTTTGATAAATAACTGCAAGGTGTCCAGGTCCTGTGGCTGCAAGCCCAAATCATCACCCCTCCACCACCGTGCTTGACAGTTGGTGTTTGTGCTGATCTGCTGTGTTTGGGTTCCTCCAAATGTGGCGCTATGACCAAACATCTAAGGTGCACATAGTTTTTCACACACACTGTTTCGGCATTTTGGCTTAATGTTTCTTGAATTAAAAAATGACACTGTGTAGTATGTTTTATACTTCATGTGAGGTTGTATTTACCTCATTGTAAGACCTGCTAGGACAGATTATGTTTTTTATGTCCTGATATTTAAACCGTTTTTCTTTTTTTCTTTTTCTTTTTTTTACCACTACGTTTTCCGAGTTTATAAGAAAATATTGAGTCCTACAACTAGAATTTCACTTTTTTCCATCACATTTCACTGCTGTGGTACCACAGCAGCCAACCGTTAATGCATGGCTTGATAACACTAGTGATAGATTGGAAAAACATTTTTTGAGATCTTATGTCCTCTTTCTAGCTTTTTACTGCTGTTTTTTTTTTAACCATCTCCAAGATCTCATGGTGATAAAGTGCCCAATCCTACACCATGGCATTGCACCAATATGCAATACCAGCAAGTTTCTCTAAGTCCAGTACATCAGTGGCAGTGACCAGAAACTACAAGAAAAATATTTCTTACAGTAGTAACTTAAAACTGGCTGTTTTGGTGCGATGCCACTTTGTGCTCTCAAGAAATCTCAGATTGTATGTGCAGACTCCGCCTGAGCAAACTGCTCTGGGCAGCCATGAGTAATAGTCAGTAGTAGTCAAAAGAAAGCAGACCTTGAGGGTTTTTTAAAAATGTATTTATATAGTTGAGATTTGTGTTTTCAAGGTTGACCATGAACCTTTAGACTCTTTTTTTGGGATGAACTGACAATTTATGAATACATGCAGTAAAATATGAGAAGAAATCACATGAAATCAAAAGTTTATAAACTATTACAAGATTACAAATTACAAATATGCCCAAAATACAAAATAAGACTGCAGCCACAAGTTGCAGACGTTGTCAAGAGATTAAGAGCCCAGGAATATCATGGACTACAACTAGGTCGTTAATCTAGACTTAAAGACAGCAGCATTTGTAACGGACACAGGGAGTGGAGCTGCAGTTGAGAAAGCCCTGTCACCTTTCTGTTTGAAACAAGAACTGGGAATGTAAAGTCAGAGTTTGTCTTTATTTAGTTATTTTTTAAACATCTTTGCTGCCTGAATGCGACCTCCCTCAAGTCCTGTACAGACACGAGCTGTTGGGATGAATGGAAACAAATGAGAGTAATAACACCTGGGGTTGGGAAAAGTCTTTTTACATTCCACTGTTTGTTTTTTGTCTACTGGATGTATGTGTGTGTGTTTGCACCGTGGTTGAATGTCAGTATTTGAACTTATGTTTGTGTGATTGTATTTACTGTGAGTCCCTGTGTGTATATCTGCACTAAGTTCTATTTTGCCAGTTTAATACTGAACAGCATTCTTTGCTGTTTTTATTCTGTATGAATCCAGATGTACAGAGAAGTATGTTCTTTTCTTCTTTTTTTTAAGTTGTCACTTCTTGAAGAATCACTGCACTTGTTGACGATGATGCTGGAACAAACCTCTCTTCACAGCAGGCTTATTTTCCTCATGTTTGGAGGACATTTAGATCTCTTATACATGAGCTGAGAGTGAAGGTCACAAGAAAAAAGCTTTACAACAACCATAGATAAAAGTTGCTCCATTTGACCATACACCAGATTTTCAGTTTAAACAAAAGCAGCTGAAGACGTTTTTCCTCTATGCCCTATCTCGCCTCTCTAAGTGGACCAATCTAATTCACCAAGGCCAAAAAACGAAGGGTTGCTCCTTCACGTCACAGCTGATGCTCCCTCAAAACACCCCCATTGTGCACACATGCTTTCTGGCACAAAGTATTCTGTGTGTGCCTTATGAACCCCGTCACGCCTTGCTCTTCACCATATGCGCTCCCTCTCCAAGTGTCAGGAAGGGAGGAGGGGGGAAAAAGGTGAGACAGGAGATAATCATCACCTCTTTGCTTCACTGTTAGCTACATCTCAGGTCAGAGCAGAGCCTTGGAGCATCCCAAAATAACCACCTCTCATATTCATCTGTCTGTCCTGATGTACTGCCCTGCTGACAAAGCATTACATTCCAAAGGCTTAGTGAAAGTCAATCAATGCAATTTAAATATTGGTTAAAGATCAGTCAGGGTTTGATACATTTTTTTTTAAGAAATCGAGCTAAAATTGTCTTTCTACACTCGTCACTGGCCAAAAACCAAACACTGGTAAAGTTTACTGGACAAGCTCGCATTTCTGTTTTAGGGCATTCTCTTTAGGGACTGCTTGAGACAAAGAGAGGTTAACCAGCAACATTTTAATTTATATACTGACTGTATAAAATGATTGTGAAAATGTTCTGTATGGAGAAAAAAAGAGAAAAAGAACCATCATTACTAATGGGGTTGTAGATATCTATCCTTGATATCACAAACCCCCCTGTTTCACTCCCTTTCTCTTTGTAGTTACACATCCGTGGGGTGCACAATGTTAAATATTGACCATTTATTTTTTTGAAATCTGTACAGTGTATATAATGATATAAATGTATATATAAAACAAAGATACTTCTGGTCTGGTATTGTATGAATTTTTCATATTTTCTTTTATTTATATTACTTTAACTCACACGTGTATTTCACAGTAATAGTTAATTCAGTCTTTATTTTAAGTTTTTGATTACTGGCTACCAGGGTCAGGAGCAGACCATACGTGCTGGATGGGCAACCAACTTTGACACTGGGGGAGGCATTTGGCTCAGGACAGCTATATATGATAGTACAGTCATGGAGACATTTAGCCACAACTCTAAAAGTGCAAAAATATCTATCTTAGATTGCAGAGGCAAAGGGGGAGACAAACAATAGAGACTTTTTCTTCACACAGTAGGACGGATGATTGTGAGCGCACAGTGTCATCAACACATTTACATTTGTTTCGCAGTTTTTCAGTAGAGTCGTGCTTTGAAACTAGTTCTCAATATCTGCTCAGTGTCCTCCTCAGAGTCGTGCTGATTACCTCAACTCATGCAGAACTACTGTGCTCACATTACAGTAACTTATCTGTGATATTTCAGGTTTTCATTACCAAATTGTATGAATTAGTGTAACTTATAGTTGAAGTGCATCAGTAAAATGCAGCTGAGGGGGTGTAGTCACTCTTTTAGGTGGGCCTAGACCCCTGAGATCCATGGCCACTTCTTGCCAGTAGTGTGTTGGACCTTAGCTTTTATAACTGCCTTGTCTTTGTGGCATAGATTGAACAAGGCGCTGTGAACATTACTTAAAAATTTTGGTCCATGTTGGCATGATAACATTACACAGTTGCTGCAGATATGTTGGCTGCACATCCATGATGTGGGTCTCCAGTTCCACCACATCCCAAAGACGCTCTATTGATGGTGATCTGGTGATTGTGGAAGCCATTTAAGTCATGTTCAAGAAACGAATTTGAGATGTTTTAAGCTTAGTGTTGTGATGTGTTATCCTGCTGGCAGCATCCGTCAGAAGATGGATACAGTGTGGATATAATGGAATGGATATGCTCAGCAACTCTTCTAGGCTGTGGTGTTGGTGCCAAGAAAATGCCTTTATGTTGTTGCCATATGCTGACCCATCTGAATATCAGAGCAGAAATCAAGACTCAAAAGGCCAGGCAACATTTTTCCAACCTTCTGTTGTACAGTTTTGATGAGCCCATCTGACTTGTAGCCTGAGATTCCTGTTCTTAGCAGGCAGGAATTACACCTGCTGTGGTCTTCTGCTGCTGTAGCCAATCTGCTTCAAGGTTCAACATGTGCATTCAGAGATGCTCTTCTGCATACACTGGTTTTAATGAGTGCTTTTTTGAGCTACTGTTGCCTGTTGTTGAGGGGGCAACAAAGAGGAGGTGAGGAAGATCCAGGTGTTACTAAAGGACAAGATCAGAGAGGCTAAGGACAATTACAGGAGGAAGCTGGAGTGGAAACTCCAGCAGAACAGCATGAGAGAGGTGTGGAGGGGCATGAAGACCATCACTGGATTCAGGCCAACCAACAGCAGGGGAGCTGA